ACAGAAACCTGCAAAGARAAGTAACAGTGAGCAAGAGCCACRGACACATTTTCACAATTCTCTTAAAAAGAACACATTTCATAATAAATTTACTTTTATTCACAATTTCTAAAACACTACTCCTAGCTATTTGTTATTGCTGCCATGTTTAATCATTACCCAAAGTTGTGTTGCTTTGGAGCAGCCCGTGTTTGTTATTGGGCTGGCACAGGAAGCAAGGCTCTGCACTGCTGTCCTCAGAAAACCAGTGCCTGTACCCCTGGGCTCACTACACAAGGCCAGAGCTTAGCCCCAGTTTTTTTAAATGCCCAGCAAAAGATCAGTTAAGTGCTTTGTAAGSCATTCTTCCACAAGTACTCATTTATCAGTTCTGCACATAGAAGTCACTAATACAAGAAGCTATTTAATCTCTACAGCATCGCAGGGTTCTGAACAATGACAGCTCAGTATTCCAGAAAAAGCTTTCACAGATGCTTCTATATATTATTATATAAATAATAATGGGAGAATAATGGGACATATCATGGCAAAYAATGGGAGAATAATCCTCCCCTGAAAGATTGTTAGAAGCATCTTGACATTTTCCCTWATGGGAAAAAAATAAGAACAAGGACCCCCATCTCATTTAGCAGAGCTATAATCCAAGCAGTGGAACACTCTGTTCTGTGTGAGAGTTACATTCTCCTCTGAAACTCTAGATAAACAGAAAGAATATGAGAGGTTGAACCTGTGCCAAACAGGAAGTTAYTCAACAAGGACAACTAGAAGTAACCAATTTGTTTTCTGAGTCAGTAATCTGCTTGGAGATTACTGCAATTGCATGAAGCAAGCAGAGGATTTGAGTACACCAGATCATCGAAGCAAACATATGCTAATGGCAGGGGACCTACATTTTCCAGAGGAAGGAGTCTAGATTGAAGAGACAGGGCTTTAGCACAGCTGTGAACAAAAACAGTTACAACTATTCTCATTTAAAAAAAAAAAACAAAAAGTTCCTCAACAGAAACAATCCTCCCTCAGAGCACAGATAACAGAGCACAGATAACAGGGGCTGTTTCAATGGGATGGGAAAAAGAAAGGCCTAAAAGAAGTATTTTAAAATATGTCTGCTGCATTAAGAGTAAAACCACAAGACTATCAGCTATTTTCCTATTTAAAGGGGCAAACGTTACCCCACCCCAATGTGCATAACAGACACTCCTGAAGGACACACTACAAATTATCATGAGGCAGAAAGGCTCCCACCAGTCATTTTCTGGTTGAGCTATTGGGAGGGTGGGGTGGCAGGTATTTTACCTCATCATTATCTTCATCAATGTATTTGATCTGAATGTTGTCCAGGTCAAATGAAACCTTAACCTGTAGTGGAAAAAAACCCCACAAAACCATAGTGAGACAGGATGACAGATRTCCTYAGTTAATAATGATTATTAATTAGGAATAACATTATAACCCYTCCACCCCTCCCTTCAGTTTCTCAGTTGAAGCAAACACTTTTTTACAAGTCCATTCCTTTAGAGCTGAACTCTTCCTGGTGCCTTACCTCCAACCGTTATTAACTTGCCCTAATGAAGCTAACAGATTTGTTTCTTTCACCTTGCACCTTTCCTGGTTAATGTTTACTTCAAAATAAACAATAATACCCTTCCCATTCTATGAGGACAAGCTCAGGATTAACCAATCAGTCGTGGTAAACACTGCAGAACACAAATGTTAAGGCAAACAAWCCCTAAACTCTGCCTTCTACATTAAAAAGCACCTGAAGACAGCTCACAYAGGTGATCAGTGTTTTTTCAGCCTATCAGAATTTGGAGAATAAAGCTGAGCAGTTATTTTGCATTTTACATTAGTAAGGCAGAATGAGCAGCATCAAAGAAATCATAGAATCAAAGTGGTTTTTTCCATATGCTGTGTCTTGGAGGCTCCTGTACATTTTTGTACCAGGTACCTACAAAAGCCGTATGTTTCCCAAAAGAAACCCTCTGAAAGAATTGACACGAGTCCTGCTAGTCCAGGCCTAACACAACAACACCAGCAGCTTCAGCAAACAGTCTGGGACTTACACAGCACCACCAGAGCACATGGACACAGCACACACATGGACACATTTTAAAATGAACCTGCCTCAGACAGGTTCTTCCAGAAACATCCTGAATTTTGTGAGAGAACCAASTTTCTGAGAACCAACTTGTCAAGGCAAAACTGTGGTCTGTACTCACATTGTCCAGCACCACASACTGTTCCCCTAATCTCAAAGTAGAACAAGAGCTCACATTGTCCCTTACAAATATCAAACACGYTTAATAAAAGATTAAAACATAAGAAAGACACAAGTTTTACTGATACTCCCTTGAAACATTAATTCACACAGCAGAGGCAACCCCGTGGCACAACCTTGGTTAGGGAAACACTGTAATAGAACACCACGCCTTGAACAAACACAYCCCGGCTCTCAGACTACCTAAGATTAAGGGCAACACAATGCTTACACAGTAATCTGCTTCCAGCTTTGATGCAAGCAGGATTCTGACTAGCTCAGACATTCCTGCAGGGTCTACTTGACACTAAGTATTTTAAGACTGAACTGACGGCTCTTTCAGAGGATTGAAACACAAGTGAAGATGATCCAGTTCAGACTTTGAACCTGAGTAATTCATAAAGCAAAATCCTTCTGCATTTATACCAGACTATATTAGCTAGAAAAAGAGCTAAAGGAGAGAAAATAAAATAGTGACAAGATCTCTTCAGACGTGACTTTGAAAGCAAGCAAAAAAAAATAACAGTAGCTACAAAATCAATAATAACCATCCATCATTCCATTAGTTTCATCATAGCCAAGGGAATTCTTACATGATTTCACCCTCTGCCAATACAGGAATTTTCACTGAATAGCCCCTAAAACAAACATCCAAACAAACTCTTAACTATACAGACCAGACTCTTAACGAGACCTTCATAAGCAACTGCCTACGCATGCCTGACCCAGTCAGACGCTATTATATCCAAACTAGCACACACAAAGCTCCAGGAAGCAAGACACCTAAAATGTATTAGCAGCCCAGAGAGCACAGACAAATCTTCAGAAAGGCAACAGACGTATTATTCACCATAGCTACTTCAAGAAGTAAAAGAAGGGGAGATAAGAGGAATAGAATGTACTTTATAGAGAGATACAGTGCCAAACCAAGTGCCCATATCTGTGGAAACGGGCAAAAAACACAGCTAAGACCACCTGCTCACACAGAAAAAAAAAAGAATCCATAAGAGGCTTTTTCCAAAACAGGCTTTTCACGTCACTCTAAACGTCCAGCAGGATTAAACCATACTAAAGAAAAACCGAGATCGCAGCCGTATCAACCACCAGCTCCAGGAGTCTAGGAAATGGGGGACACCGCTTTGGAAGGCTCGGGAGGAGATGCCAGGCCCTGGAAKATTTGCTGTCACGGCCCGCACCTCACCTCACCGGCTCCCTACGGCTGCGGCCCCTCACCCTCCGGGGGGGACGCCCCGCTCCGCCTCCCGCGGCCAAACTGCGCTCACCATGGCCTCCACATCGGCCCACGTCGTGAGCGCTGGGTCGGACACGACGAAGCTGCGGGTGTCGCCGCGGCAGGTGACGCGCAGGGTGACCCGCGGCTCCATGGCGCGCTCCCGCGGGGCCGGCGACAGCCGTCCCGACCAGCACAACATGGCGGCCCGAGGGCGGCCGGCCCGGACAGCTCTGCGCGAGCCTATTGGCTGAGCGGCCTGCCAATCATCCCGCCCGCCGCTTTGATTGGCTGGGAGGAGGAGCCAGGAGCCGCGGAAACCACAACAATAAACACAGCCACGCACGTCCGGCGCCTGCGCAGCGCCTGTGGGTCACGTGGCGGCGGCAGCGCCAATCAGATTCGCCCATTCCGGCCCCGCCCCCCCGCCGAGGAGGAAGGAGCCCGTAAGAGGGCGCTGCAGGCGCGCGTGCCGGCTCCGCGGCAGCTGATTGGCTGCGCGCGGCGGGGAGGAAAGGGCGCGAAACGCGGCGCTGAGGCGGGCGGCGGGACCGGGCCCGGCCCGGACACACCGGTAACGATACTGATACCAATACCGATACTAATACCGATACCGGCACCGCGCTGCCTCCGCCGGGGCTCCTGCCAGCCCGAACTGCCGCTGCGGGAAGCTCAAGTTGTTTCTCTTTGTTTTCAGGATTTGCGACCTTTGCTGTGGGGTCTCACCTGTGCTGGCTCGTGCAGGTACGCCCAGGATCCGAGTAYGTCTGCTGTCTTCTCTGTATGCTTTTCCACCTCTCTTTTTGTGCTCTGTGCCCTCATTGYGTTTCTCCTGAATGCCGCTGCTCTRAACCCTTTCTTTTTGCTCCTTTGGCTACAAGACACTCGAGAAGTTTGAACTGTAAATAATCAGAGTAACAACTCCTCTGTGCTGTAAAGTCTTGCTCACGAAATGGCAGCAASCATTTCAGTTTATGTCTAAAAAGGAGACAGAAGAGTCTTGTAACTTTATTCGTGAATGAAGGGAGAGGTTATGGGCATTTCCCATGGGGTCTCTCAAATTCATAGAGGATACAGGTTTTTTTTTATTTTAATTTTTCGGTTGCAGTTCTCTCTCTTTTTCCCCATTAGTTAAGGTATTTGAAAGTTATAGGCTCCCCGAAACGCTTGATGAAATTTCTTTTYTATCATCTRTTGCCCCCTTTCAATATCCATTTCTGTGTCTCTGCTTAGATAATCTATTAATATAGACTGGAGTAAGCTAATCAGTAGGATTCTTATGCAAATCCTTCTTATTGTTTTTTTCTATTTCTTAATATCAGCCTTATCTCACTCCTGAGTCAGARTCTGTTTGTAAAGACACTACTTTCTCATTCTTTTCAGTACCATTTCAGTATTTGAAACCATTCTGTAGGTTAGAGCACAATGAGAGAAYAGTGCAAAGTCATGGGATGCAAAAATGCAGATATAAAGCTGATAATATTTTTTGCTTTTTCTGTGTAGTGTTTTTGGATGTGAAGGATGGACTGCTCAGTGATTACTATTGGACATGTGCAAAATGTGCTTTCAGCTATGCAGAAGACCTTGGAGTGCCCCATATGGTATGCCAGGGAATAATATCAGTATCTTTAATTAATCGTTTTTATCTTTTGAAAATGCTTTGTCAGTTCTATGGTTTACAAGAAAGTAAGAAGACTTAAGAGTAAACGTTGCTGTTTTGGAAGGCTCAAATTAGAAAGTTCAAGAAAACTGAAATTTTGCTCTTATGTAAAGGGTAAATTTTGCTTTGATATTAGAACCTGAATGTGTTAGTCCTCTGATTCAGTGAGGGGGGRAAAATGTATTTGATTGGATTATTGTTTGTAAAGCAGTGTGGGTTTTTGTCCCTTGTCTCTGCAAGGTGGATGAGGTCTTTAGTTCTTTGGTGCAAACAAATGCTGAAATAGCAAAGGGTCTGGTTGAAGTCTGGGTCTCTATTGTCTATAATTGCTGTATTCTTGTTTTTGTTTTACTTTTTGTAGCTTGGATGTGGTACAAGARCCTGTTTCAACAAAATGTGATCACATATTCTGCAGGTAGGTTTGAAAACTTGCAAGTGCAATGTAATTTTTAATTTCTGTGTACAATTTTTTTCTTAGCATTTTTAATTCTATAAATACTAGTTTTAATTTCCATATATACTTCTTCAGTGCTAATGATGTGCATATAGCATGTATTGATAACTTCATGTGTAGCTGCTTTAGGGGAAAAAGTCAGCTCTGTGGAGGASAGAATTGCAGCTTCACAAATGTGTCAGAGTGGATCAATGAACTCAGTGTAATACCAGAACAAGAATGGTGGTGAATGTGCATACCCAGATTTAAGGAAAATTATATCCTTCTCTTGTTACCACCCCAAGTGTTCTTTTTTCATAGGTTCTGCATGTTCAAGCTTATCAGCAAAAAGAAAAAAGGTGTGGCACAGTGTCCTCTGTGTAAGACTGAAGTTACCAAGAGGTGAGGAATGCAACTCTAAGGGGGCCTGAGGATGAATGTTTGAACTCTATTGTTAGAACAAYAGTCCTAAAATATATCAACATGAGACTGAAATTACAAAGAAAA